ATGGGTGAGCGAGAAAGTGAGAAAGGGAGAGACCCAGAGAGAGAGAGAGAGAGGCTTACATGACTTTGTGGGGCTAGCTTTTTCAAGATTATGTTATGGCCACTTAAAAGCTCCCTAACATGTCTTGTTTGCCTCAAAAATCTTAGCACCTACGAGGTATGATTCCTGTGGGAGCCATATCCGACTAGATTGGGACAGTTTTCAGCATCGATTTCGTTTATGTTATGGGGGGTTGTTCACTTCAGCTTCGTCTTTGTCAATGGTTCACCACTGCCCAAAATTTCCCATTTAAATTCTGCAGTGGTGGTGACCACTTCATCTTTAAGTGTAGTTCAACCAAACGTTACCTAGAAACATACAATACTTGATTATAACATGCATGCTCATGCTAGGTAGCTACTCCCCACTTGCGGTCTCTACCCAACATTTGATCTTATTATATGGAAAAAAGGACCCAAACCCAATCAAAAACGAATGCCATCAGACCACAAAACAGCTATATCTGCCTCAGAAGATTTGCTTTTGGTGTGTTTTTCTTCTTTCACAAGGGAAATTGTAGTCCTAATGGAATGTCGTGGAAAGTTGCAAGCCGAAATATATATCCACCAAATCCAAGTTTGTGGGTTTGTGTAAATCAGGAAAGTCAACGACCAGGGAAGTCAATGGAGACTTAACTCAGAACTAAGACCATTCAATCCCTGAAATACATACTTCCCCCCCTCTCAAGCAGCTTGACAAGTTGAAAGTGATGTATCCCATGAAAATGAAAACCCAAAGCTCTCAAAGCATTTGGGCACTATCTTATCAAGCAATACAGTGGAAGCACATCCAAAAAAAACGAAGAGGTGGTGGGCCTTTTATGTACAATTTTAACAAAATTTTTGTGCGCATGGTACAGTAGCACTCAGCAAAGCCTCATACACATTCATTAGTGCTCCCAAAGGGAGGAAAAGAGGAACTACCCATTAATCTTTGAGGATTGCACTTGCACAGTAATTGCCACATGTGTGGCAATGGGTGCGCGTGCAAGCATGTATGGCGGCTAAAGGCAACTTGTTCCATGCCCAAGGAAGAATGCAGATGTCGACGAACCAAGGACCCCGTGGGGACTGTTTGTCCCAAGAATGAATTCAAGGCTGGACCTTTGTATGCCAAGATGTTAGGGCACACATTAGATGATGTGTAGTTAGCAGTGGGGCCAGGCCACGGTGGTTGTCGGGGGGCACATTGAACTGATGAGTGGGACCCAACCATGGGGGGCTTAGGCTGCATGATTTTGGGTTCTTTGGGAAGAAGAAGAAGAAGAAGAAGAAGAAGATGATGAAGAAAGGGGTGAGACTGAGAGGTTAGAAAGGTAACAAAGTGGGACCAAAAGATTAGGCTTAGGCCTTAGTTGGGTTTTCTCTTTTGGCAAGATCCTTTTCTTTGTCCATTCAAATTACCCAAAGCTTTTTCAAAAGATAAATTAACATCCTAACAAAGCAAGATTTTGGGGTTGCATCTTTTGATGTAAAAGGTGGGATTTTGTTGAGGGTTTTGGTTGAGTTTGAGACTTTTTAAGTAAGATTTGATCTCAAATGTATGGGTATTATTGTTGCAAGTGTTTGACCATTTTTGTGCTTGAGAGAGACAGACCAAAAAGAAGAAGAAGAAAAAAAAAACCTAAAGAACATTAATTCTTTCATAGAGTTGGGTTGGGGACTTTTGTGTGCTTGAGTTTGGTGGGTGCGCGTGCAGCTCAATATGTGGGATTGTGGTCATAATGGGGGCTGCCAGCCACCCATAAGATTATTCATGACGCATACATTCTGAATCATTCCCTCCTCTTCCTCCTCCTCCTCCTCTTAAAACTGCAAATTTGATTCTAAACTCACCATTTTCCATCATTGCCTCTCCCACCCTCTCTGTTTGTCTTCATTTTGTTGTCATATACGCCTTTTGCTTTGTATTTCCTACTATCAGTTTCATATTCACTCACTCTGTTTAAACTTTGGACCATTTCCCAACTCTTAACCAGCTTGCTTTAGAGATAATCATGGGGTTTCAGTTGAGTTGAATTGAGTACCCATTTTCCTTTTCCTTGCGTAATTTTTTCCCCCCATTTTGCTTATTCATGTATCTGTCCTGTATACTTCTGGGAGAGGAAGCTTCCTTGGAGCTTTATCATGTTGAATTATTATTGTAATCTTTGGTGTAAAGTCTTAAATTAAAAGCCAAGGGAGGCTACAAATTGTCATGAGGAAGGTAGCTTAAGTCAATTAGGAAACTACTTCCATAACCCAACCAAAACAAGCACTAATTACCTCCCATTTTTCCCCATTATTTTAATACAAACGTTTTATTTTGCTACCCCTAGGGTTCAATCTTCATTAAAGCTACAACAGAACCCTATTCAACTTTCTGTTCTGCTAAATGATCAAAGAACCATAATTTATGACAAGGACAAAACAACAACATGATCATACAGGAAACTATACTATCTGCAGTTTCCAGGGAACTGGAGAAGACTGAAGAAAAACATGAGGATATACTCGTATTACTACGTTTTCAAGTGATGTTAGTACAAACTGAGGCATTAACAGAGAAAAGTTGTCATAGATTTGACAAGAAAATGATGATCATTGGCATAATTAAACATTTTCATAACTCAAAAAGAAAGAAAAAAAATTGATACTGATTAAAACTGTTGTGTTTAGAAAGAACTGCTCCTGTTTGAATTAGGGGATATGGTTAAGAAGAGTGCATTTAAGCAACACAAAAAGAAAGAACAAATGATGATAATGCCCCCAAGCTACATGAAAATTCTCTTCTTTTTTTTGTTCATGGAGAATAAAAATGATGTGAGATTGCTTTTGATTTTCACGTACGGGGGCCTCCCCTAATTCAAGGATATTCTCATTATTTAGCTGCCACGCCTGATTCCTTTTGTTTTTTTTTTTCCATCTGCAAACTTGTGGTTCTGCATAATTATTATTTTACCCTGTAATATTGATGGTATTTTGGCACGTCTAGCTTTTCTTAATCAGCATATGCCTTCTTTGGGATGGACAAAGCTGTCCATTTAACCAGTTTGCTCTCATGTTCTTTCCTACTATGGTTTTCACTTCAATGGAGGGTTTATCATGTTTCAGATGTTGGGTTTTCCTCAAAATTATGGTGTAACCTCATGGGGCTGCTCATTTTGTAGATTTAGTTTCGGTGCAATAAGTTCTTGTGTTGGTGTTGGTGTTCTGTTCTGTTCTGTTTCTTGTCCTGTTTTGTCTTGTTTGCTTCCTGACCCTGTAGGATGCTACTTGAGAACATCTATAAACAGAAAAAATTAAGCTCACCCCAATCCAGTCCAAGTCATTTCTCATTTGCAAAGGCTGATGATTGTCTGTCCTGCATAGAAACATTTGGTCCAGCCTATGATTATTTTGCTGGTTCTTATAGAACTCCCATGCGAATGACTTAGAAACAGTAATTCCTCCATGAGTTTTGACCCAATCCTCATCAGATTTCTCTCTCTTTTTTCTTTTTCTTTGAATGACCCCCCTTTTCAATGGAATGGATTTAATTTGCTCTTTTTCAACTCGACTTCAACTCCCATTTTGACAGATTGTTTTTTTAATTTTCTAATTAAATAAAACACATTCCCAAAAAGGTTTTCAATGATTTGATGATCCCATGCGAAAATCCCAGTTTGTTGGCTAATCAAAGTTTGCCTGTGAACAGTGCTTTCTCAAAGACAAAACTGGTCAACTCCTCCAATTTTTTGCAGAAGTGAAAAACAGAGCAGGAACAGTGGCTGCTAACTCATTGTTATCTGTTTTACTTGAAACCAATGAAAGCCGACAGAAGGAGTGCTAGTACAATAACAACATATATGCATGTGAACTAAATCTGAGACAAAGTTCTTAATCACTCTCAGTGAAATGTTCATGGACAAGCAGAATTATGCCTATGATTACTGTGCTATATTGGTCCCTCCAAATGTATATGAGTCTCCCCCCCCCAACAGCATCATCTTTAAATCAGTACCATGAATTATTCAATGAACACAACTTTGAATGGATTAGCATAATCACTAATCAGAAAACGACTGCTTTTCCTTTTCCATGCTTCATTAGTTCGTTCCACCGTCACAATCTCATCACATTCAAATTCATCAGAATGGAACAATTTAACAAATCTGATACTGTTAGAATTGATATGAACAGGTTGTTGGGAGGGTTTAAATCAGTATTCCTTCCAAGTATAAAAATTTTGTATCAGCAAGGATATATAGTATAGTAAGTAGGAGGAGGAGGAGGAGGAGGAGAGTAGTGTATTTTTCTTTTGTTTCTGAAAGTTATGGCATCTTCTACTCCACAAATAAAGAGATAAGCTAAAGGGGTCATTGTTGGTACTCATGAGTAATGGAAGAATAGTGATTGGAACTGACTGGAAAGCTGGCAGAGTAAGTGCATGACAAGAACCTGAAATGCATAAATGCATGCGCGTGGGCATATATCCCGTTTCCTTGCATCCTTTGTCCCATGAAAGATTTCTTTCTCTCTTGCATACACATACACACAAGAAAAAAGAAAAAAATAAAAAGAAAAGAAAAGGAAATTTGTATACAACATATCATCATCTTATTCACTTCATTATGCCTGCAATCATGATTCTTGGTTGCCTCACCCGCATGCCCTTCTCTCTCTCTCTCTCTCACTTGCCCTTCAGCTCACCACTCTCTCTCTCTCACAACCCACCTATAAAATCCCATATACCTCCCACTTCTCTCTCTCACCTGTAGTTCCTCACACAACATAAAACTAAACCACTCTGTGTCTCTCTCTCTGTCTGTCTTTTGTTCCCGTTTCCATTCAATAGTATATCTCTTTTTTCAAGTTTCTGTCTTTGGGTGTGTGTTTTGTTTGTTGTCGAGGTTTTGAGAAATGGCTGTTTCAGGGTTTGAAGGCTTTGAGAAGCGCCTAGAGCTCCATTTCTTTGGGGATGATCCGGTGAATATTGACATGGGGCTTAGGCGGCTCGACTTGGAATCACTGGAGCAAGTTCTACATGCTGTCCAATGCACTGTTGTATCAGCTGTCGGGAACCATTTCTTTGATGCTTACGTGTTATCAGAATCCAGTCTCTTCGTTTACCCTACCAAGATCATCATCAAAACCTGCGGGACCACCCAACTGCCTCAAATCCATCCGTCCATTAATCCACCATGCGAACAAGCTTGGCCTGACTTTGTGCGGGTGTAGGTACACCAGAGGCAGCTTCATTTTCCCCAAGTCACAACCTTTCCCTCACACCAACTTCAAGGAAGAAGTCATTTACATCGAGGAAAACCTGCCCAACAGTCTCTGCTATAGGAAAGCTTCTGTCATGCCTTCCAAACTCCCTTCTTATTCATGGCACGTTTTTCACAGCCAGTGGCCAAACCCACATGCCACGCTACGCCTTGAAAGCCCCCGACGTCACCTTCACTGTCGAAGTCTGCATGACGGAACTCGACCGCCTCCTCGCGCGTAAATTCTTCAAGCGGGCAGGGATAGCAAAACAGGGGACTCGGCTGGCAAGGAAATGACAGAGCTAACGGGCATCGACAACATCAACCCTGGCGCCATCATTTGCGACTTCGCATTCGACCCCTGCGGCTACTCCATGAACGGCATTGACGGGGATCGTTACTCCACAATCCACGTCACCCCTGAAGACGGCTACAGCTACGCTAGCTTCGAGTGCGTCGGGTCCATTTACGACGACCAAGACATTGTCGAAACCTTGAAGAAGGCTGTTCAAGTTTTCAGGCCAGCCACATCTCCGTCTCAACAAAATGCAATAGCCACGAAGTTTGGACAAGGGTGGCACATGCCATGGACCCCTAGGACTCAAATGCCGGAGTTGTGCAATGGATGAGTTCCCCGCCGCCGGAACCATTGTGTTCCAAACATTCACGGCGTCTCGCCGGAAATACGCCCGCAAAAGAGGACAAGAAAACCCAAACAAAAAAACCAAAACAAAGAGGTAGATAAAAAGAAAAATGGGGAAGGGGTTTAAAACTTTTAAACAGTGAAAGTCTAGGTTCTTAGTTGGGGGAAAAGATTTTGTTGGGTATTGGGTTTACAAAAAACAAAAAAAAAAGACAGATGTGATGATGTGGAGAGATTTCATTGGTTGAAAAGGGTGATGAATGTGGGGTTGACTTGAGTAGAAGGATAAAAAGTGGAAGAGGGGAAGAGGCAATGACGTGGCAGAATCATAAAGGTGGGGATGGGGATATGTGGGAAATTGGGTTCACCATGATAATGCACCCCACTTTGGTTTGTCACGCCTAAAAGATTTTTGAGGTTGTGTAGTGGAGGGGAGATATCCCAAACAAAAACAAAAAAAAAAAAAAAAAGAAAGTTGCTCATGTTTTTGAGGTTTAAATGAAAACTTTTCTTTCTATTTTTGCTTATTTCCCACCCTTCCCCTCTTTCTTTTTGCTTATTTTTCTCTTCTTTTTTCCATTCCATTCCATTCCCTCCCTTTGTCTTACATGTTTTTAGATGATCAAGCAAAACAAATTACACTTCTTTTCTTTCATTCTTTTTCCCACTTTTATGTGTTTCATGATGTATCCGTTGGTCGCATCGATCGTGTTCATGCAACTTCGAACGAAAATTAGATCCAAACAAATGAATGAATTATCGGAGGCAAAAATTTATCAATTAGGAGCCAAATGATTATGGTGCTTTTGCATGAGGCTTCTTCATGGAAAATTTCTTTTACCATGATTATGTAGCTCGCGTGGAAGTCACCACATATCTTATTATAATGTCGAATTTTTTATCGTTTTGTTATATAATTCATATACGATCATAATTTCATTGGAAGTTGTTATTTTTATAATTAAAAAAAAATACTAAAAGAAAACAGATGCAATGGCTTCTAATATATATGCTATTGCTGGTTTGCTAAATGCATTGAAACTGCTATACATCAAAGGGATCGTGCAAAGTAACTGAAAATTGCCATTACCGTTTGGAAAGATTCAATCTCCAAACTCTAAGACTCTAGACGCTGGAGTACTACCATCATTCTGATCTAGTCAAAATGCAAGGCCCAAGCCCTCTGAGAGGTCTAAATCTTGAACTGGGCCTATTCAGCAATGGTAGGTAAAGCCTACTTCTGGCTGCCATTGAACATTGGTTTGGTGGACTTGAGAACCAGCAAGTAGCAATGCATGGAAAAAGAGCCGGTTGTTTTCCCTTCCATCCAAACAAAAACAAAGATTCAGTTCCAATTTGTCTATAGAAATTGAGACTGGGTGGTTCTGATCAAGAAGGAAATGATTTGGGCTTAGAAAGTAGGGACAACCTCTTAGAAAGAACCCCTAGGCTTCAACCAATCAAGGTTCCCAACTCTGTATATGATTAGTGAGTCAATAAGTTTGTGATTATTAGCCAGTGGAAAATAGATTAAATAGGTTTGTAATTAGGTTGGGCTTGCTTCTAACCCCAACAAGGTCTCTTTTGAGCTTGGGTTAGAGAGGCTTTTAACTCTATTTCAAATGTTAAATTAAATGGCAACAAAATAGAACTTTGTCGATGTCCTCCTGCCGTGTAAAATATATGGCAGCAACCCTAAGTGAAGTCTTGATTGCACTAACTAGTTGATCTGGAAAGGGAACTACTAGTGCTAGAACCCTTTTCCAGGGACTTTTCCCTACAAAAAGGAAAAATTGTTAACAAGGCTATAGTAAGTAACTAAAACCTTCTTTTCAAGAGAATATTGTTAAATCCAATTTGACAAGCTTATTCTTTGCAAACTATTGGCTTTCAAGTAAGAGTATACATATATATTTATGGTTGGTTTACAAGAAAATATCGATACCTAATGTTTTAAATTTAAAATGTAAAAATATGAATGTAATTTTAATAATAATAGTCATGTGTTGTTTATATATATGTGATTGTCGTGCCAATTTATAATTCAATTACGACAATTTTCATTAAAACAATTCTAAATCATGAGTTACCAATTTTTCAACTAATGATTCACGTGAGGTTGAAATATGGTGGTTAACTAGTGCCATTTGCTTACCACATTGAGGAGAAGGAACCCTTTTGATCTCCAGACTCTGTTGCTGGTATTCCCCAGGCTTCAACTTCATCAATTTGGATGTTACAAATCAGGTAACAGAAAGAAAATTCTTAGCTAAATGCCCTTTCTAAATTGAAGTCCCATAGCAGATTGAAGTTTAAATAACTGAGAAATGTTGAATAACTGTTGTTATGATAGGAACCAATTGGCTTGGTAGGGAACACTGAGAACAGCAGAAACCTCTAGGAGTTAAACAGGTAGCCTATCACAAAGTTAATGGGGAGTAATTACCTGTCACTAGGCAGGATTAAACAACAAATTTTCCCATTTCAACCAAGTTTGCAATCATGAGTTGCCCCACTGTTTCTATTCCAATTTTCTTTTTCTGGGAAAGTGGGGTGGGAAAGTTCTGTAGTGTAACTTTATAGCTTTGTAAATTGCAAGGACACTTTTGAGCTTTTTTGCTTCCCCTTCTCTCAAATTGTACAATTAAGGGCATGACTTAGTCTGGTACATTTTAAGTATGATATTTTATATTATTTGATTCAATTAAATAAAATTAAAATATTATATAATTAAAATTTGATAATATTTAAATAGTAAAATTATTATTTGTTAAGGATCGGATAGAGTTTGGATAATGATTTTAGAATCATTCAATTCTTAAAAACTAAAAATCCTAAATAAGCAGGTATATATGTCTATGCATGCTGGTTTATTACTTTTTCTAATGTCTGATGCAAATCAAAACATTGAATCTTGAGGTCTAGAGCTGCAATTCATTGGTCCATTTTTGGTTCATGGTTATTGTCAATGTAAATAAGAATGGCTGCAAAAATAGAACTAGAAAGTTTGTCCTTTGAGATTGACCTAGGTATGGTAAGGTTCTTGTTAATGGAGATATACAAGAAGATTGATCTGCAAAGAAAGAATTTCAAGATCAATGGGGAAGGAAGAAGACACTGCAAGAAAAGGTATGATAAAAGATAATAACAACTACAGCCTAGAACATTGGTGGGACTGAAAGGTCATGTTAACCCAACCCAAAGCCTTTCTTTTTCTCCCCAAAAAGCAGTTTTGGATTGGAAGTTTGCTTGAAAACACTCTCTCAGGGCAGAGGGGGGTGCAGCAGGGCAGTCCTTGTCCTGAACTCTCAATACTGTTAAGAAACTTCCAAAACAGCCCAGGGGACAAAGCTAAAAGTCACAACCAACCTTACCTAATGCCATCAAATAATGAGCTTTAGCACAGATGGAGATTGCTCCTGCCTTGTTGATTGAATCACTTGAGAAAATCCTACCCTAATCTCACTTAGGGGAATACTTGAGATGCATGCAAGTACACTGCAGCATGCAAAGGGATAAGTTTTAATTCAGAAAATCATACTACTGTCTACTGGACAGCACACACACACACACACATATATATATATATATATGTCAGATTGTCTCACCTGTTGTGATAATGGGGAAAGAAATATAGTTTATTCCTTTTGTATTTTCTTCATTCAAATTTATTTCATTTTTTAGCCTTTTATTTCTATTGGAATTTAATAATTTGATATTAATTAAGATTAATAAGAATGGGTGTACGTTATGCTGATCATAAATTCATAATTTGAATTGTGCCAATAGGAAATTCATCAGTGGAAAAGGGTTGCGGCTGTATCCCTTTGTTGTAATTAACTATTTTTGTATTTTCCTTGAAAATACATTTTAAATGAGTCTATATTTGATATATTTCAATACACTACTAACAAATTAGATGTTGTCACTTCATTAATAAATAAATTTAAAAATTAAATACTAATAATTTTAAAAAATTTATTTTAAATTTTTTAAACATTTATTATTATATATTTATGAAGTGACACTTTATAATTTTTTTAATACGACACAAGTCATAATGTAAAAATACTATATATGAGTAATGCATCTAATATAAACTTGTTTTATATTTATAAAAGATTATATGATTAAATGTACCATAAATAATTCAATACAATTATTGAATGTGTTTGGATTAAATATCAAGGATTAATGAATTTTTAAAATATTTTATATTCAAATTTGAAACGAGTTTTGATAAAATTTTTATTATTAATTCGAATTATAATAGATTTCGGATATCACTTTTAGAATATTAATATTCATATTCGATTATGTTAATACTCAGATAAATCTGAATATACATAAATCCTTGATTTGTAAAAATAGAAGTCTCAAAAATGAAAATAAAAAATAAAAAAAAGAGAGAAAAAACAAGGATACATTAAAACCAGACCTTTTCCATCACACATTCACTGTTTTGTTTTGGCGTGTGAAATGTGGGAAATGAGCTTTTTATTACCAGCATTTTTCCATTTTTTATTTCCATTCCTTTGTTTTTGCATTTCCCGGGGCAAGGACAAACACACCCATGCACACACATTGATTGTCTCTCTCTCTCTCTCTCTTGAAAGTTGAGAACTTGAAACAAACCCACTCTGGTCTTCCCTCAGCTTTAGGGTTTACATTTTTCTTCATTTTTTTTTATTTTGTAAATTCTTGTTTGGGGTCTTTCATTGGTTCCTTTCTTTGCCTTCTGGAGACCCTGATCTTGCTTTTCTCTCAAGAAAAGTTAAAAGTACAATTTTTTCTTTTTGGGTTTGCCTTGAATTGAAGAAGGAATCGCCTGAATCCTCAAAATGTTTGCTTCTTTTCTCCCTACTTGATTTAGGGTTCCGCTTTTTCTCTTTTCTTTTGCTTGTTGAAGGGTTTGTTCTCTTATCTCTGTCTTCCTGTTGTCTTCCTCTTGGTTTGCATTGTCACATAAAAATTAGCTTGCTTTTCCTTCTGGGTTTTTGTTTTCCTTTCTTCTTTTCTCTCCGATTTCTTCTCTTTAAAGCATGTTTTCTAACCAAATTTCCTATAGAAATACCCAAAATGTTAACTTTAAGAAGAACCCATTTCTCCAGTTTCGCCTAAAACTGCTTCCGTCCGTGCCATCCCTTCATTTCACATTCGGTTTCTTTTAGGCCTTTTAACAAACACTTAAGCTACACTTTGAAAAAAATTTCCCTTTCTTTGTTTTTTTTTTTTATTCTGGGTAACTTTCCGTTTTGAAATCATGGGTTGTGTTCATGGAAAGTGTTGTAGTAAATACCCATCATCATCTGATGGTGATTCAGGTCACCATAGAGAAATGAGGCCTTACATTAACAAACACATTCTTACACAAAGGTCATTGGAGTTAGTTCCTGTTCCATCTCACAACTTTAATTTGCAGTACTCAATCTTAACTCAGCATGGTTATTATCCAGACACAGTTGAGAGGGAAAACCAAGATAGTTTCTGTGTGAAAACACAGGTTCAAGGTAACCCAAATGTTCATTTCTTTGGTGTATTTGATGGTCATGGTCAATATGGTGATCAATGTTCAAACTTTGTCAAGGATAGACTTGTGGAGATATTATCTAATGATCCCACATTGTTGGATGATCCTTTAAAAGCTTATACTTCAGCATTTTTAGCTACAAATTCTGAGTTACATGACAGTGAGATTGATGATACTATGAGTGGTACCACGGCGATAACTGTCCTTGTTGTTGGAGATACTCTTTATGTTGCTAATGTGGGTGATTCAAGAGCTGTGATTGCTCGTAAGGATGGAAATCAAATTTTGGCTGAGGATTTATCCCTGGATCAAACACCATTTAGGAAAGATGAATATGATAGGGTGAAGCTTTGTGGGGCCAGGGTTTTGAGTGTTGATCAAGTGGAAGGTCTTAAAGACCCTAATATTCAAAATTGGGGTGATGAAGAAAGTCAAGGTGGTGATCCTCCAAGGTTGTGGGTTCCGAATGGGATGTATCCGGGTACTGCATTTACAAGGAGTGTAGGAGATAGTACAGCAGAGAAGATTGGTGTGATTGCTGCTCCGGAGGTGTCAATTGTTCGGCTTACCCCCGATCATCAATTCTTTGTTGTCGCAAGTGATGGAGTTTTCGAGTTTCTCCCTAGCCAAACTGTTGTCAACATGGTATGACCATTATCTTCTTTTCTCATTCGTTTATACTATTGTATATCCATCATTCACCTGTTGACATTTGAATGTTTGCTGTTATGAGAAATATTTGCCTTTTTTTTTTTCGCATGCAACTGCCAAAGTGTTTAATACAAAAGACTTTAGTGCATGTTCCTCGCAACTTGATGTTTGTAGACCTATAGTATACTATGAAGGTTGGTAAGGACACTAAAAAATGAAGCAAGGTGCAAAAGTATTTTCCCATGTCTTTTGCTTTTTGAACTGTTAGAGCTCTCTACTCGTTGATATTATCATGAAAATAACTCATTCATATGTATAAGGGGCTTTTCTGAGATGTAGCAATCTATTGTTCCTGCTGGTCACTGCAAGATATTTGAGTCATTATTTGAGCATTTCCTTAACAATTTTATAATTTTCTTCACGCAGGCAGCAGCATACACAGATCCCCGGGATGCATGTGCTGCAATTGCTGGAGAATCCTACAAACTATGGTTGGAGAATGAAAATCGGACTGATGATATCACAATCATCATTGTACAGATTAAAGACTTGTCTAATGTATGCATTATTTAAATCTTTCTCTGGCTTTTCATTTTCTCAATATTTAAAAAACAAATTGTGCTTTATGGTTTAGTTTTCTCTCCTGATGCCGTATTCTTTCTCAGAAGTTATTGAAGTATGATCTTTTAGGATTGCTCAGCAGAAAGTTCCACTTTGCACTTTGCAGCATCATGTCAACTTATCCTAGTTTGTTGTTTTGAAGAGCATCGAATTATCCTAGTTTGAATTAGAGTCATAAAATCTATCTTGATTTAAGGAAAAAAAAAAGTATGGATTTGCTTATAGTGCCTTGCAGTGATATAACTTGCACTTTCCTGCCCAATACAAAATTGTAGGGAAGTTCTAATCTAAAAAGACCTTTTTTGTGTCCATAGACTATAGAATGTGTGATATTAATTTGTAAATTTTCATTGGCCTAAAAGAAATTGTAAATATTCTGTGTAATCTATTGATGCTCTCAAAGTAGGCATTATTTCCTATTACTTCATTAATTGCATTGCAATTAACTGATGTTCTTGGGATTCCTGCAGATGGGTGCTGGTGCCACAGATAGTGGAATAGATTACAGGCCAATGATTATGAGGTCAGTCAAGGGAACTCATGATGTGTCCAGTGTCTCTGAGTCAGAAACCTATGCTTCAGTAAGAAGTGGTTTGTCAGATATACAGCAGTCTTGCCAACATAGTATTTCAATGAATCGAAGTGCAGCTATTGTTGTTCCATCACCAATGCATCAGAGGCCTTTGCAATTGGTTGGTCACTCAAGCTATGGTTTGGAATATTTTCTAATCCTTCCATATTTTTGAGTAATCTGTTCTTCATTCACTGCCACTATCAGATTTGTTGATCTGACAGAAGCTGCCTCATGCCTTATTTTTTATGATTTGCTACATGTCTCATCTGATTTTCTTTAATATGTATATTAATACTATTATACATATAGCCATTGGAAGAGTTGGTGTCTGCCAACTCTGTTGCTGGACTCGTTGGTTAGACCCTGGACAAAATTTCAAATGAAACCAATTAGGGGAAAAAAATGTCCTGAGAGGTAGGAGAAAAACTAGGGATTGTAGCTTCTTTCTTCCTTGCCATATTGAGGATATTTGGTTTCTGAGCCATTGTCAGTAAAATGAAATGCATCAACTAATAATGAGTGACATACTATAGGGCAGAATAAGTTGATAGTGTCGCCTTCGTCGTTTTAATATGCACTCATGTAGGTATGTGGGGTGGACTGGTTTTTAATAATAAGTAGTGGTTGGTGTCTCTCTAGAAAAGATACTTGCTTCATCTTGTTGCACCTTGTCTTTAAAAATATTATTTGAGCAAATCAAGTACTAGCTTTTAGTTATAAGCTGACACAGTTTTGTTTGGCTGTTATCAGGATGTGGGTTAGCTTAAGGAACCAAAGGGAAATTGTTTTTTCCACACACAAGATTCACATGGTGAATGATCTCAAGGCCCTATGACATTTTGCTAATGTTGCTGATAACATGGTAGTTAACCCCATGATATTTGTTGAAGAAAAGTGCTCTCCTTCCGCCTGTAATCTTGCACCTGGTTATCCGAACATGTAGAGAAAAGATCCATTTTGGAGAGATTCAGGAAATTCTGTTGGCAAGTTCAGAGTTGATGATCACAAGATGATGGAAAGGGGATTAAGAAGTATGGTCTTTTTGATGTCAAGTTCTTCAAGGAAGAACCTCCCCTAGTTTATTGCCTCTAAAGCATAACCATAAGGAGATAGATCTCAATTGTTTCCAGCACTGCTGGGATGATGGGTGAGGCAGAGATATACCTTGATTGCTAACTGCCCACGATGGATTCTGTAAATTTCTTGTGAGATATCAATTTGAATGACTTTAATGGTACAGAAGCTGCTTAATGATAAATTAACAGGTTTTATGATCTATGCTCTATGGATGTAGTGTTAATTTCATTTTTGCTCTGTTCAAAGCATTGAATGCTGCACAATACTCTTGAAGATGAAAGTTATATTACTCAAATGTGTAGAAGGCTTCTTTTTAGGTTTTGTGGGGATTCCAATGGCTGTCTGTCTGCCTGAACTTTTCTTTTATCACGAAAAATGAAAAGAAAAATTGTTTTTTTTTCCTTAGGAGTGGTTATAGTTCTAAAAGGAATATAGCGGGTTTTGTGATTGTTCTCCGTTCACTAGTTAATTAATTAAGGTTAGTGAGGGAGAACATGCTGCCTAATAGGTTCAAAAGGCCTGTTATTTGCTCATCATAAAGAAGAAAAACTGGAACAACATTATGAATACAAAACCACCTCTTCTTAAGGAAAGATAATGTGGAAGTCAGCAAAGTTCTTCCATCAGAAAAACTCGTATATCAGAAGTAAATTGATAGCTTCTCACCTATACTATTCTGTACTATGTTACATTTCTCCAGCAACAGGCTTAATCTATCCGTTTCTGTTCTAGCCATCACTATTTCACTGTAACTGCTATTTGATTCTCTGATCGTACAAGCAACATCATCTGCAATAGCCAATCCATGCTTCTGTGAAGAATCTCCTTTATCCTTTGTGGAGGAGGTACTTGTCATAGCAGCCTCCTGAACTTCAATGTCGAAGACTTTCTCTCGTTGAGAAGCTTGTGGATCCAAGCCAACCCTCGGAGACTTCAGGGGGCTGCAGCCAACTTCTTCGATTACTTCGTCTAGAGATGGATAACTCAAAAAATAAGGTGAAGTGTCACCTTCATCCTGTAACTTAGGTAAATCTCCCAACTTCGCAGCAACATTATGACACTGCAAAACATAAGCTAGAGAGCAGGCCCCAGTTGATAAACTCATTAACCGCCAATTGAAAATCCTACGGAAAATGGTGACCCAGTTTGGCACTAGATAGTAGTTCAAGCCATGCAGTTCAAGCTTTGTGTTTCTTTGTAGCATTACAGACGTCTCTTTTGTAGCTAGTGAAATTCCCATCATCTTGCTTGATTGTGTTAGGTATCCTTTGAAGCAATTTTCAAGTAGTAATCTGTGGTTATCAATATCTGTCCACATCTTGGAACCGCTTCGCAACCATGAGATATCATCAGGAAAACTGGGCAGTCTACAATCTCTCAATGCACATTCAAGTGGTGCAGTTTTTGCCGTTGAGCTCCATCCCACACTTGGCAAGAACATCTTCACTGCTAAAAGCTCATCACTTGAATCTTCCAGCAGCATGGTTTCAGAACAAGGCCAGTTGGTAGGATTTGCTTTAACAGCAGCAGCAATTTCTCCCAATGACCAATCCAATGCTTCATTGAAGACTGAGATGCAGTGATTTGGACCTACTTCATAATCACTTGTCCTATCCAACACCTCCAACAAAGGACTCAAGTGAGACATTACAAGTTCACGTGTCTTCACACTACTAAGAACAGGTTGTACAGGTGATTCATTGGCCAGCCATTTCAGTCCCTTCCTTAACTGTTCATCACTGAAAAACCAATTTGAGTGTTCCAGATGTTGCTTACCAACAAGGAAAACAACCAAAAAGCTGCTTACTCGTGATTTATCAATGTCATGCAGCTCCAATTCGGTAACTATAACTGAGGAAGGATCTGAACCTTCTACATTGTATGAGCCACTCAAGACCAGAAGAGGTAAGTACGAGCCAGGAGGAATTGATGTCAGAAGGTTATGAAGGTGGATCTTTTGGAGCTTCCATGGAATGCTATCAGATACAAGGAACAAAACCGCACTTGCTCCAGATACTGTCTCATTCAGATCACCACAATTTGCATCCTTAACAACAGACAGGCAGCATGTTAGATCAGTACCAGATAGGCTAGGAACCCATTTCTTCCATATTGACAAGCCAGAAGATGAGACTGCTAAATCATCATCATTATTATCTCCTGCAGAAGGCATGATCTTAGAGAACAACCACGAGCCTGCTGCCCAATGGGCAACCTGGCTCTTCTGTGTCAGTTGGTCTCCTTGTTTGCTCTCTGGAGAACATAAAATAATTTTCCAGCATAGGCATTTAGCATCTGGGTTTCTGTTAGCCAATATACCTGACACTACATCTGAAACATTCAGCCTTGACCATGATCTTTCCTGTTTTTCATATCTCTCCCTCATGACATGATCAAAATCAAGCTCACCAAATGTGCTCCATTGCTACAAAGGAACAATAAAAGAATAAGAATAAAAACAGTAAAAGGACAGAAAACTTGGCAACTGTGCCAACTAATGAAGTATGTGTCCATACAACATAGAAATATGTAAGTAGCAGTTAAATTGAATAAATATCACAGAAACCGGGAGATTTTAGGAGAAAGAGGGGCTGTAAGAAAGAGGGGCTGTAGCTCAGGGTAAATGTCCCAAATAAGAAATGACAACAGGCAATTAGAATTACTTACACAGTAAACAATGAGAAAAACTAATAATCACAGTAGAATAACAAAAAAATCTTACATTTTTGTTCTGCCAAACTGGAATACCCAATGGTAAGGACCTTAGTGCAGCTTCACCGGCCAGCTGCCTCTGTTCATGTAATTCCCTTAGTTTTGAAGCACGTCGTCTCCACAACCTGACAGGACAGACGCAAGTAAGAAAAATATAACACTAGGTGACAGCCAAAACCAGACTGACAACGTTACAGACCTTAGGATCAACTTGAGTTTCGCTTCAGCAACTTCCTTATCTTGATTGTTTTCTACTGTTTCCTGACTCTCAATTTCTAGATGACTATCTGGTGGTTCATCTCCTAAATCATCAACAGCCATTCCTTGAGGTACCGAATTTTCCAAAGCATAATCATATTTGTCACTTGGTGTCTCTGACAGAGATTTTAAGTCATTAGTAGCAATAGTTTGAGATACTGAGTCCTTTGTAATATAATCATATTTGCCACTAGGTGATCTTGCTGGCACAGATTTTACTTTATCAATAGCCATACTTTGAGGTATGGAGTTTTCCACAGCATGATCAAATATACCACTAGTGGATCTCTCTGGCAGAGATGCTTTGGACATAATTTGTGATGGCATTTGTTCTCTGCCAGAAGTGATTGCCCTCTCTGGCAATATGGTGACAAGAGCATCATTGTTTGCTTTCTCCATAACTGCAACTTTGGCTCGCAGTGATCTAGGGGAACTACGAGACAAAGAGAAATCCAATGGTTTGAAGGAGGCACCAGTCTTGAGATGACCTTGGAGCTGTTGAACACCTATAGATGTCGCAGTCACTGAATGCAGTTGCACACCATCCTTTGGAGAAGAAAGAACTTTAGAATCAGGCATTTCTTCATCAACTACTATAACTGAACTCGCCCTTCTAGGGGAAGAGAAGGCATTTAACCTTTGCTTATATATTTTACCCAGTTGACTCTCCTTGGTTGCTCCTATGGGCAAGGATGTCAGTTCACGAGAAACTGCAACATCCTCTGCTATTGTTCTTGATCTTTTTAGATGAACCAGTCTTGAACACTTTGTAGGATAGTCACTTTCAACGTTAAGAAATGGACCTTCCTTCACCATATATGGCTCTTCAAATTCTTTTATCGAAAAGCCATAGTAGTCTAGAAGGCTTTCAATGTCCTCTTCCTAAATCCAACCACCAGAAGCAGCATAAGATAAGGAACTTAACATGAAGATGAAAACAAAATGTAATTGGCATTTAGGGCAAGAAATATTACCTCAATACCAAGCCACCTGGCAACATGGGTAACAGGGAGCCCTTGGTTGCTCTGGAGACTAGAGTGTAGAGAAGCGAGGGCCTGAGTTCGTAACTGGTCAAAGCACCATAATTTATCACCCGCAATGATATAGAAAAGAGAAAAGAAACAATAGTTATGCAGCACATAAGAGAAAATGTCATAATTTACACTCAAGAAGACTTGTGACTTCCATAAATAGCACATCATAAACCACAGAAATGGGAGGAATAAGGATATGATATGGAATGAAAGGAACACAAAGAATTGGAGAGTTTTTTCCTTTGTAGGTGGGAAGGAGATGGAATAATCCATCATACCTACCTTTGCAAAATGAGCATGCATCAAGCATGCTTGAAGGTAACTTGCCCTCCTTGCAAGCCTAAAGAAGGCAACAAAATTACCCGTTCTGCAAGCCCTGGAAGTGCCAAAAATTTAAAGAGTTAGACCCAGTTTAACACTCCAGTGGCAATGAAAGTTGAAGGAAAGTAACAACCTAGCTACATTACGAGCAAATAGCACTTCCGGTGTTTGCCTTATCTCTGGAGTCATCTTAGCAAGGTCCAGTGAGAGCTCAGCTGGTTCAACCTAGCAGGGAGTGCTTATTTTCAAAGAGAAATTGATGAAGTTTGTATAATTGATTTGCCATTGGTAGGGACTTACTTTATACCCAGGATGCTTGTCAAGTTTGAGAAGCGCATAATAACCTCTAAACTCCTTTTCTGTTGGAACATTAATTCCTTTCTTCCTGTGATCATCATACATTTGGAATAACTCAACTGATGTTTTGTTCATCTGTTCAATATTTAGGTGTGCATCAAAACCCTCAGAGAAGCCCTCCCCTTTGGTATATTCACATAATTCATGCATGGCAATTATGTGAAGCCTTATCTGACAACCACAGCAATCAGCACCACTAATTAATCTTAGCGTACAAGTCATGGAATGAGTCAAACATTTGCCTCTAAATGCAACAAATTACAGCTTATGCTTCCAGTATTGAGGTAAACATGGATGGATTAAAGTGTAGGCAAGACCAATGAGAATGCCACAGTATATTTACTTGTTCAGTTTAAATATAAGTGGGTGACAAATGCCATGTAGTTCATAGAAATAAAAAGGTCAGAAGCTTTGGTGGCAGTATTAGCATGCCACATGACAACATTACATGTTGTGTGTCTGAAACCTTGCCTACAACAGCAGTGGCTTACAAGCAACTTGAATTAGGACAAAAATGATAGCAGTAAAGAATCAGAATGGCAGTACTCATTTAAAGCCCCAACAGGAACAACTATAATGTCAACTTTATTAATGATTCAGGTAATATAAGTCACACGTGCATTATTAACAAAATTACTTTCCATTAACCTATATGAACTAAAATGAACTTTTTTCCAATAATATTTTGCTGGTTTGGTTTTACAAGATGCATAAGTGTTCACGAATCATGATAATGTGCTAACAGATAAGGAAGACACAGTTGAAAGGACATACCATTTGCTCTAGCATAGTAATAGCCCCTTGGTCAAAGATGTGCTGCATCCTCAGGTCCATTCGAATTGCTCTCATCCTATCCCATAGAAAGTTATATATTCCAAGAAACCTGTCATCATATGGCTGATCTAGCAAATTGAGTAGATAATCTATTGTCTTCTGAAGGACTGGCATTGGCCGTATCAAACTTGCTTCCCTCTCAGCTGTCCTAGTGTACTGTAATAGTAAAAGTAAGCATATTCATCAGACTTTACCACTTAAGGAAATCATAAAGAAAAGCAGTTTCTTTTTAAATTACCTTCTTAACAGCGAGGAATTCACTTGTTTGATTTCTATCACCATCCAAGTGTTCGTACTGGTCAAGATCACCTTTTCTTTCTCGTTCTGCCCTTTCCGACTCTGAAAATGAAGCAAGATTCAAATCACATCAATAAAAGAAAGTGCTGTCAGTTAGCCAACTCTTTGACATGTAATAATAGGATATATGCTTCTCTAAGACACTAGAAAATCAGAAAAAACTGAAGCTTAAGAGAGATTAAATATAGAACGGGATTTCATTGTTTCCAAGAATGGTAGTTTCTCCTCAACATTCTAGTTAAATAACTTTCTCGAAGTTTCATTTCAACCATTCCTGTTAAGAGCTTGATCCTAGGTTTCAGGGTCCAGACACATACCCGGACACATATCTGGACATAACCCAATGATAATTCTGGATGTTTCCATGCCCTCAAAATCAGATAAAGCAGTGTCATTCAAGAAATCCCCAGCTGAATCTGTAGAATGTTCCCCAACAAGTTTCTTCCTTTCTTCTACATTTTGAAGAAATCTATTTGCAGACAATCTTTGATCTACAATATCAGGAGGACTCATACGAACAGTTTCACTCAATTCAGTTTTGAAACGAGCTAATCGCTTTGCTTTGGCTTGCAATTCCCTGCAATTCATGGATGAAAGATTGGAATTAATATTAAAATGAAAGTTATAATTAGTGGCTAATCAATGTTATCACTGGATTCTAAATTTTACCGTTCAGTACCATCTTCAATGGGACTGGAGTTTTCCTCAAGAAATTCATCACGGTAAATTAAAGGAGGAGACCTTGTCTTTTAGAAACTGGAAGCCCAGTGTTTCTCACTGCAGTAGAAACAATACCATGTGAAGAAGGCAAGGATCTCGGACGAATTGGGACATCATTTGACTTGGTACCTAACCGTGGAGGAGATCCAGAAAGCCTGCAAGAATAAATAACTGAATTTAATGAGATGGAAAAGAAAGAGGGAGGGGGGGGGGGGGGGGGTTGGGGGGTTTGTTGCACAAAGCCATATACCATGAGAGTGGCAAGGAAGTAAGAAAGCTGTATCATGAGCACATAATTTTTCAGTTCTGAAACGAAATTTCGAGTAAATCCCACCCCAACAACACTGCCTGGTTCTTTCTTTAATACTTCTATCAACTAGTGTCCTCATTTTGATGCAAGAAAATAGAGAAAAAAAGAACAAATTGTTTACCCTCCTTTAAGTTCATGGCTGTCAAACACAAAACATGGGGAAAAAAGATTTATGTATCTGCTAAGATTGCATACTGACCTTTTAGAGCCATTGCGAACAAATAGTAAATTCTCCTGGGTAACTTCTTCTGCAGGTTGTGTATGTGGTAACCTGGCTTGTTTTGGGGCTTGCATATCAGGCACTTCATTCACAAAGCTTTTTCTATAACCAGTGGGACCTACATGAGATGAGACCACAGACTGGTCCTGATGAGCTGGCAAGTTTGACAAGTGGCTGGCAACTTGGCAGGATTGTGCTGCATAGGGGGAGAAAAAGAAGGCCTGCACGAAAAACAAAATAGCTACCAAAACTTGTAACTGCAGGGGATTCAGCATGTAGTAGAATGTATACAATATAATCAAGCCTTAAAACAAAAGTGCCAGCATAAAAATCTGTATTGTAAAAAGGAATGTTCTTCAATGAAAATCCCAGGACCATGACTAATAACAAATGCATATTGGAGTCAATGGAACAGTCGATTAATCCAAGTACTAGGGATTATATGAAAAAAGAATTAATCACTCTAGAATTTTCATCGGATAGTAATTTCAACAAGAGTCAAGTCACATTCAAGCCACAAGTCTGAAGCATGGTTAAAAAGGTGGATAGATGAGACTTTCTTGAATCATCTTGACAGACACCCCTAATAACTAGAACCAAACATTATGGCAAGAACTGCAAATAATGGAAGCCATCATCAGAAGTTTCTGGTGAAAAGGGAACATAAAAGGGAAAACAAAGTGGAGATTTCACCAATATGTTATTAAAATACTGACACCAATCTGTAGCCAATATCAAGAAAGATTATGACGTCACATGCAAGTGCTGAAAAGGATAGGCTGAACATGCCTCTGAAGGATTGCTTGACTGGAGTTGCTTGGTACAGTGTCATCTACAGATAATGATGGAGGTGATCTAGCCCTCTTTGACTCTTGAAATCGGGCAATCTTAGATGTAACACTAGTTTCAGAAATACGTGAAGCGATAAACGATGCTACTGCAGGTGGCCTGAGATGAGTTTGGGCAGCATCATCCTTTAACAAACCCTGCCCACCAGCCCATCTAGGAGGGGATTCAATGGGCCTGGAAGAAAATAAAAACTATCAATACAGCATTCAGGGACAAATATGTGGCTATATTTTATAATCAGAAGAACTGCCCAAATAAAAACAGATAAAAGCAAACACAAGATGGCATGCATTGCTAAACTCATGACCTAATTTTCCATAGAGAAAACTTATTAATGGTTCATAGAACTGATACGTAAACTGCCCCTCCATTAAGTTGCATGTTACCTAACTGAAGCCTTATTGCCATTAACAGAGAAAGAAATTTGAACAATGAAGGAAATGAACATCAGGCAAAAAGAGAAAAAAAAAAAAAAACACTATACTTTGATACGCTCATACCTTTGGACTCCACCATACTGATGAGGTCTCACAGCAGGACTGAAGTTCTCAAAAGCTGCCGGGGGTGGCCGCACTCTATCTACAGCTTCAATTCCCCTATAGTTGGAACAAAATCCGTAAGTTTTTAACCAACAGAAAAGAACAACCAAATGTGCACAAAAGAAGTGAATTATGCTTCTAGATTCACCAAAAAAGAAAGCAATTCCCAAGTTCCATAAAGCCAAAATCATTCCTTTGAAATTTGAAAAAAAAAAAAACTTACACCTCTGTTTCATAATTATAGTTGGTGTATAAAAATGTACATTTGCAGTCAAATAAGCAATCGAAACCCTAACAAAATCATAAGGGTTCATCCTTTTCTACATTCTTTGTTCCCTCCTTCAATGCAACTACTGTCCTAAAACCCCAACTAATAAGAAACCATTAAAGAAGTACCTTGAAAAGAAAAACCGATTAAAGACTTGAACCTTAAGAAATGAAGATCAAATTAAAGCCAAAGAAAAACAAACTTTCAAGCAAAATACCTGGAGGGTCTTATTGGGGCAGTGGATGGAGGAGGAGGAGGACGTTGAATCTGAAATGGGTTTGCAGATTTCGGCGCAGTTGTCGGACCTGAATGCTTCCCAAACCCTGACATTCTTTCTCCTCCCTCTTTCCTTCCCGGTATTTCTTGTTCCCTTCTTGTTTGTTCTTGCTTTTCTACTCTTTAAGGCATATCCAATTCATTCAAACCATGGGTATAAGACTGTAATTGCTTCGTTGGGATCTTGGTTGTTAATGTTGGAGCTCAGAGCTCAGTGATCATGGTTTTATACTCCAGGCTTTTTGAATCAGGAGAGACAAGAGAAAGATAAACAGTGAAGAACCAAGAATTTGAGCTTTCAAAAGCTTTCTCAGACTGAAACCGAGCCGGTCTGGTTTTTCTTCTTTTAAGAAAAGCTGGCCCAGAAAACCAAACCCTAAATTTGGGCCTATGATGGATTCATAATGGGCCTTAATGGCCCTTTAGTGTCCTCTCAGAATTATGGTTCGGCCGAAAAAAAGGGCAATGTCTGGCCCATTATTTTAAGCAAATACTTACATTTTTTTAATTTTGTTTTATTATATAAACTTAATTTGCATTTTTATTTTAACACCCGAAATTTTATCCTTTTCTTTGTTTGAAATTGAATTTTTCTCTGTATTTATTAAAAAAAATTAATCATAATAAATTTTATAAATAAACCCCATTACTTGAGAAATCATAAAAGAATTTCATAAATTACTCACCCTTTGTAAAAATTTTCATTAGAATTGTAATTACAATTCTTTGAAATAGCTCTCATTGTTGAAAGCAAAGAAGAGAAAAGACAAAAGGCAAGACTTTTTAGCTAAGCTGTTATTAACACAAATTTATGATTACATATCTAGGTTACGTTTTGTGTTGCAAAGTTTTTAATTTTTTTGATTAAAAAATTAATTTGATGAGATGTGCAGTATTTGTATTTATTAATTTTTAAAATTTTTATTTATTCGGTTTGATTTTATTTGAGTATAATTTGATACAACCTTGTTACAGAATTGTTTTCTTTTTTCAAAGATTAATTTATACAACATTTATAAACTTTTCAGTGTCTGAAATGAAATGAAAATATTATATTTATTTCTTTTTAAACATTAAAAAAAACCCAAAATTTATAAATGGTACAAATTTAAATTTTGGGTGGGGAAAAATACTAATTTAACACAAAATGAAGGGTCTAAAAGATATTAATGCCCAACGATTCTCAATGAATCTGAAATTCCCCTCGGCATCCGAGTTTCCGTCCAGGTTCGTTTTCTGGTGACAAGGATATATCTTCTTTTCAGTTCCAGATTCTCGTGCGGGTTTTTAAGGTAAAAAAGTGGTAGTACGAGACTAGAACTTGCAACTGCGGCTGTCAACATGAGCGCGTCATCAGGTTCTGTTCAGAAAACAGAGGAAGAATGGCGGGCAATTCTGTCCCCGGAGCAGTTCCGGATTCTGCGCCAGAAAGGAACCGAGTAAAAACGAAATCCCATCAGTCAATCTCATTAGTACTTGTTTATTTTTCCTTCTACATTGTTTGGTTTTTAGAATCTCTGACATGTTTTAGAATCTGGGTATCTTTGTTTTCTTCCATCAAACAATTCTTTGGATAGGAAAGCTTGTGTTTTTGGGGTCAGTTTGATTGGGTTGACCTTGTCTCCAAATTTCAGATGGACTGTGAATATGTTGATTGCTTTAGATTTTTGTAATTTCTTATGCTGAATCTTAGAATTTCACCTGAAAAGTTGGTTTTGGTTTTCTTGTTGTGGTCATTAGTTGTCTTAAAACGTGAAAAAGAGGAGGGATGGGGAAGAAACTGTGAAGAAGTTCCCTAGCTGGTATCTGGTGGGAGAATATTTGATTAGCAAAAGGATTTCAATTGGGGAAAAAGAAAGATTTTTTCCCCCAAAAGTTCTCTGTCTAATTTCGAAGAGTGGTCATTACAGATTCTTGTAACATTTGATATACTTCAATGGCAGTGGTGGATTTGTGTAATGTGAAATCAGCAGGCAATGCCCTTAGCAAAATGAGTTTCTAACAAGTCAATATCAATGGCTTTCTTTCTCTTGCACATGCTGCTGGTCTCACTGGGGTACTTATCTTAGTTTCCTAATAATGTTTTGGAGATTGTGTTACCCGTATTGACTTATCATTGTAGAAAGAAAGCTGAAAAATTGGTTGCAAGTTCTTGATTGATAAGTGATGGCAAAGAGTTGTTCATTTTAAGCAAGTCTAGAGACACTGGTTTGCATTGATTGAATCCTTGTTTTTTACCATTTTCTGTTTCATGAACCTCACACTCTCCCCATGTCATTGTTGGAACATGAAATTTCCAAATTCCAAAGTCCTGAAAGTTAAAGTGTTTCCTTGACGATTATGAAACTATGATTTTTGTTAACATGGAATCTTACTAGTTTTCTTGTGCTAACGTGATGAAATTCATGTAGCATCAGATACTTTGGTCTGGTGTGCTTATAGATTGATAATGTACAGGATGCGAGGAACGGGAGAATATGACAAATTTTATGATGAAGGGGTTTATAATTGTGCCGGTTGTGGGACACCGCTTTACAAGTCCACAACCAAATTTGACTCTGGCTGTGGTTGGCCTGCTTTCTATGAGGGTTTCCCTGGAGCCATAAACTGCTCTGTGAGTTCCAAATTCTTTCTCATCGCCCAACCCTCCTTTCTCTATCTCTTAGTATCGAGTGTTATGCCTTTGATTGGATCCTAAACATGCAAACAACAATTTTGCAGCCTGATCCTGATGGGAGAAGAACTGAGATTACTTGTGCAGCTTGTGGGGGGCACTTGGGTCATGTTTTTAAAGGGGAGGGGTTCTCAGTGCCAACAGATGAACGCCACTGTGTCAACAGTGTTTCGATCAAGTTTGTTCCTGCTAATTCTACTCCTTCCCTATGAGGAAAAAGTTGTTTCAGCCTAATGAACAAGCTGAAGTGTACAATTGTAACAAATAAATGAAATCGGTGAGAATAATTATGAGTGTCAAACTAAACTAATTGTGCCGGTTCCAATAAAGCCTTCTGACTTCATGACTATTTTGGTTATTTTTAGCCTCTGTTTGGCATTAAATGATTTTGTGCCATTCCTGTCAATTCCCAAGTCATCTTTTGTGTGCATTGACAAGAGGATGACAGAACATTGTAGAAAGTTATTTGCTTAGTTTTTATAGGATGAGATGTGATTGGATGGCTGTTTCTATTCTCTGGATCATCATGTACAATGCTGTGGTTGATTTGGAGGGGTTTGGAGGATAGAAGTGTATAGCACTATGAGAAATCGGCTTGGAATCAGAGAGCCTGTATCATCTCAGCCGCGGTTGTGCCATGGGAATGGGTGGAACACTGATGGGAACTGATTGCCAGGAAGAACAGTGATTTTTTTTTTCTTGTTCAGAACAAAGGGGCTAGACAGCCCGACCAAATTACCAGGTGGAAAGACAATCACTAGAGATTAGCACAGGCATGTCCACGGGGGCTAGCATTTCACAAGCATCGAAAAAGGGTGTTAGTCCCAATTCATCACATCAACCTTGCTTTGAATGTAGTTATCAGAATCTCTGGTTTTGGCTAAAGGACTAAAATGAGAGCAAACTTGCAAATGCGGGGTCAAGTTTTTTCTGTTCCTTAGAAAAGTGTTGTAGCTTCAGCAATGGAGTAAAGAAATTAGATGTATGCCATCATCAATGGTAATAGACCGACCACAGTACTACACCAATGCAAGTCTGCAAGTTAACATCAAGACCAGTGGACAAGACAGTTTTGTGGTGCTCAAAGCAACTCTGCAATAATACTCTGGGGTCAATGGCAGTATAACTAGTAATCCCCTGCTTGCAACGGATTAAATATTTCAGGGAAAAAGAAACAAAGATTGAACAAACAGCGGCAAAAATACCTGCCAAAATCCTCAATTAGGGTTGGCTTGCTTTCCCAATTATAAAAATGAAGCCTTTACCATTTAAATCACAAGTTTTCTACTTTATAAAGTCTTAAATTTCAGAGTTTTCAAACCCGTTTCAAGTCAGAGAACAAAAAAATGAGGGGCAGAAAGAAAGCAGCGACCAATCCATCAAGCAGCAGCAAAGGCGAAGGAGGAGTTGTAGGACATGAACCAACCGCCAATCCTTGCAAACTCTTTCAACTCCCACGCCGTACAATCTTTGACATTTTCTCAAGGCTTCCCATCAACACCCTTTTCCATTGCAGGTGCGTTTGCAAGAGATTCCTCTGTTTCATTTCTGATCCTGAATTTGCAAGGCTCCACCTTTCAAGATCACCCCTTTGCATTTTAATCAAAACCATGCCACTCCAAAATGCTTCGAAGAGGCTCCAGTTAGCCCAAGTTGAAGCCGATGGTGCAAATTGCCACGTCATGAAAATGAACTTTACTCCCAAATCAAACGTACCCACTTGCGATATTTCTCATATGAATGCATGCAATGGTTTGCTTTGTTTAGTTGGAACTGAAAAAGATTCTTCCTTTTATGTTTGTAACCCAATTTTGGGTGAATTTATCACCATTCAACCACCTTATAAGGGTAGGCATAGAGGTACTTTCTGGGGACTTGGTTATTCAGCTGTGACTAATGAATACAAAGTTTTGCAAAGCTATTATCCGGCAGTCGAATCCGCTGAACGTTATGTAATGGCTGAGATATACACCATTGGGACTGGTTCATGGAGAAGCATTGGAAATGCACCAACCGACACTGTTGCTTTGCCGTTCAATGCTTTTTTGAATGGAGCTCTTCACTGGTTTCCCTGTACTCCTAATGGTAGTGAATTTATACATTCTTTTGACTTTGATACTGAGCAGTTTGGGACACTTCCCCCACCTGATCATTTCCGTGAAGAGGATAAGAAATTTACAAATTACGCCAGGATTGGAGTGCTAGGAGGTTGTCTGTTTATAATTTACTTCACAAATTCGATACGATTTGACATTTGGGTTATGAAGGAGTATGGTGTCAAGGAGTCTTGGACCAAACAGTTTGTTATTGAAAATTTGTACCCAAAGCAAGGCAGCTGGGACTTCTATGAACCAATGGTTGTTTTGAACAATGGAGAAATCTTGATGTTGTACAATAATGATGCAGTAGTTTGTTACAATCAGAAGAGGAGAAATCTTCGAGGAACTAAATTTTTCCGGACTCGCTCACAGTTTGATGCAATTGCTTACATCCCTTGCTTTATTTCTCTTTACAATGTTGCAAAAGGAGAGCAAATTTCAAGGTACTATAATACAAGCCTGAAATTGGCATATGCTTCATCTATTTAGAATTTCAGCCAAAGAACTGATAGCTTAGACTTCAGCTAATGATTTTGGTGAGATAGATGTCTTGAAATTGGACTTTTGTTTTTTCGCCGGTATGAAATGCTCATGCATTTGCTTTGTTTCAAATGAGTGGCAATGGATATTTTCTCTCAGAAGTTAATTGATTTGTTTCCTAGGTGCTATAGTATATTTCATGATACAGAGTTCTGTTGATTCAAGAATACATAGCATGAAGTTTGCATCATGTACAACTAAACTCAACATAGCAATGCACTTTACTACTAGGATTACAGTGATTTGGGAATTTTCTTTCATCACCTGCTGCTTGACTATATCTTTGGTTGTTGACATAATATTAAAACTGCAGGTCTGAAGATAATGCCTTTCATGCCATTTTAGTGATAGACAGAGCTTTAGCCATTTGAAGCTAGTGGTTAATTTGTAAAATGCAGTTTCTGGATAATTTAATACATGCTTGCTTGATGCTTGAGATGTTAGATTGAGACATGAAACTTGTCTGCTTTTTTCCGGAAACTTGTTCTAATTGATTTTCTTCCACGTACAAATCCATACAGTTCTATTCCCCATATTCCATGGTTAATTAATAAGCTAAAATGTTATTAATATATAGGATCCAAGGCACCAGAGAATACAACAAGCTCTGTACAGCAGAATTCCGAGATTGTGCTGGCTGTGGAGCACCAGTCATTAACCCTGGCTATAGTTTTCCAGCTTTTGGTGTTCCCTGTGGAGTTGTAAATTACCCTGTAAGTTATATTGTTTGCTTGAATTTTTATATGATTCTCCCATTTAATATGCATTGGCTGTGATTTAATGAAACATAAAAAGTAAAATTTTCAGGAAGATTTATATGCAAGAAACTCGGGGATCATATGTACAGCCTGTAACAAACACCAAGCTGCTCCTTTGAAATCTTTTCTGACCCTATGGAGTCTATGAAGAGGAAAATGGTAATTGATAAATGAGGGGCCATTTTGACTATGGTATCAACTAAGTCCATTGGAATTTTTATTATGAGTTCTGGCATTGAACTTTATGCCCAATTTGCGATGTATTACTAAATCAGCTGTTACTGCTGTTGGTGCTTGTAAATATTGAGACATCTTCCTGTTGAAGGAGGGAAAGATTAGTATGCTAATAGAAGAGTAGATATGCTTCTAAATAAATAGAGAACTGCCCTGTTTTCGGTCCTTGAAGTATATTTTCAGTCCTCTTATATCGCCAGAAACTGACATTTCAGGGCCATTGACCATTGTAGCTTGGAAACTAGGGAGAGCATTCATTGCATTCAAGTCATTAAGATGTGGCATCCATTTGCTACCATTCAAAAGAGAAATAGGGGATGCCAATCATCTTCCACCTGCAGCTGAATCCTCTCACCTGAAGAAAGTCAGGGCACTTGACAATCAACCCTTGTTTATCCGAGGATCATTTTAATGGTTAATTAAATTGAAGTAGCCATTTGCAAATTTCGATCTTCAATGGAGATTATGGTAGTTTTATTCTTCGAAAACCTTTATCAGCGGTTCAGCAACATTCAGGTTGGAACCTGGAACCTGAAACATAAAGCTACTAGTACATCTTACTGATAAATGCATGTAAAGGCTCTTCCTCTTGACCTTGGTTAACTAAAATAAATAAACTCTCAAACATAAACAAGTCTGACAATTAGCTCTTGCTAGTCTTTGGAAAGAAGTGCAGCTGCCTCATGAAAGAATCAGAATTTAGAATTTTTATCAACGTTATTTTTGAGTTCCTTTCCATGAATTTTCCTCATCAAAATCCCATTTTCAAAAAATCTTGGGTAAACAAATTTATGAAGCCGATATATGTCAAATAGCCCATCAAAGGTAGCCCTGAATCGAGAGCCCGCCCACAATCCGGCCATAACCGATGCTTTCCTAAGAAACAGTTCTCCTCCTACCTCTACCCTCCTTAAAAGCTTAAATCCATCAAAGAAAAAAGTGGGAAAAATAGTAGTTGGGAAAAATTTTTTTCATGGATGGCGAAAAGATAAAAAGAGGATCAGGGTTCCCAAAGTGGATTGAAAAGGAAGAAACAGAATGGCAGTTGACAGATTTCCCATCGAGTATCATCGTGGAGATATTCTTAAGGCTTCCTGTAAAGGCCATTGGCAAATGCAGGTACGTTTGCAAAACTTGGTTTCATATCATTTCTGATCCACAGTTTGCCAAACTTCACCTCTCAATGTCACCCATTTGCATCTTGATCAACAAGAAACCGCATATGCGCCAACCGAGGACATTGCATTTATCCCAGGTGGTAGAGGATTCTGGCACTAACCGCTTCCGGTTTGAGAAGAAGAATTTTGCAACACAATTTGACTTACCGAACTATGGCCGTGACCTTGTCAGTTCTTGCAATGGGTTGGTTTGCCTATCTGGGGTTCAAGAGGGATCAATCTAGGTATGCTACCCAGTTTTAGGTGATACCCAGTTTTAGGGCACAGGATTTGACTATTTGTGTTAACAATCATGTCCTTTAATAAGTTGTGCATAGAAGTATGAATTTGAAACAGGGTAAACAGGGTTGAATTTACACCAAACATTGTCAGTTCATGCTTCCTAGATCACCCCTTTGCAAATTGTGCACCTATTGAATGACTGGCATGACATTTTGATATTATCCAGGAAGAGAAGCAGTGGGAAGGATGGCAACACCTGCTTTTGACAATGTCTTCTGTAAACGTTATTGTGAGTTTCCTTTGTCATACTCTGATTTATTCATCCTAGGATCTATAAGTTGATAATTTCCTTTACCCAGTTGTTGGTTGCAATTTCACAATCATGGAATGACAACCCTTCAGCCAAGTCAAGGACTCAAGGGAAGGGAACTTAGCATCCTTTTAGCAATTAGCTATGGGCAGTTAAAGCTGTGATATCAAAGGGAACGTCTTGGAGAACAAACAGAGCAATCCCAGTATTACATAATTAATATTTGGAAAAAAAGAAAGGGAAAAAGAACATAGCCACCCCATTATGAAGTTTCATTTTTGAGAAATCTTCTTTTACCCTATTAAGTTTATATGAAGGGTTTTGTTGATGTTTTGATTTACCTTCATTGGAGTAAGTAACACAGTTTCTGCGAAGACCAAAAGTGCAAATAAAGTTATAATTACATTGTTCTTTTGATGTTAGTGGAAACTTTCGTTTTAATTTTTAAAGCAGCTATTAGATGCTGCAACTTCTATTCATCAAGCTCTTTTTATTTTTGAACTATTTCGAATGATGAAATTCATTTTTCCTTTTCCCCCACAACATCTTTCTAGGTTGGATATTAACTATGCCCATTACAACAACTTAGAGTTTACTTGAGTTCTCCTTTCTCCATCCCGGAGAAGTGGATATGATTTCCTGTTCCATTGTTGTAACTTCTTCCTTATGAAGGGAAAACCAGCCCGTTGTGCTACTTTGTTAAGCAATTACACTCAACTTTTAAATTTTATTTTTCTCCTAAAATTAAAGGTATTTTTGGTATTTTAAGCTTTCTGCATTATACTTTAGAGCAAGATTATATTTAATTCTGATTAAATAAAGATTATTTTTAGAGGGGCAGTATGGATGGCAGGCAGTAATGTCACCAGGCAGAGAGGTCCTCTGTTTCTATTCTGATTCATTTCATTCTAGAATCTATAAGTTAATTATTTCATTTCATGTTGTTGGTTAAGCTAAACCAAGAGTCAAGGAGGAACTGAGAACATATTTACAGTAAAAATCATGTTATCAAAGAGTACAGGCTCCCAGTACCAACAGAGAAATTCCCCTGAGGAGTTATTTTGTTGTTTATGAAGGATTCTATTCGCCCAGTTGCTGAAGTAATACATTTTCTATGAAGGCCAAAATGCAAATGCAGATTGACAAGTTAAGATTTGGTAGAACAATAGGAAAAATTCTCATAAGATATCTTCTGCAAAGTACTTGTCAAGATCAAAGAAACATGGAGTCCATTAATAGATGTTGCATTACATATCTCAGCCCAATCAACATCAAAAAACAAAACTTTGCTCTGAATTTGTGAACTTGTGAAGTAATTTTCCTCACTCTTACAGCAAAAAATTTCACTTCCCTTTGCTATTCTTCCTCCTCTCATTGCACGCCTTCAAAGCTTGAACCTCTGTCAAAAAACAGAAACTTGGTCAAGGAGCCAAGTTTTCCAACTGGGTTTATTGCCAGCAACAAGAAAATGAAGGAATTTAAAGCATACCCATTTGACAAGACTTCCAATTCCTGTTTCTGTTAACAAGACAATCCTGCAAAAATATGCAGTGAAAATTTTTTTTAAAAAAAGGGCTTAAACTAGGGTTTTAGAGTGGCTTAAAGAACCAAAAAAAAAAAAGAGAGGATATTTTATTTACTTGCAAGGATAAGTAGAGAGCAGAGCATTCCTCGAGCTGCTTCACATTCTCATCGTCGTCGGTGGCGTCGTCTTGGTGGAACGCCGCCTGCTGTGGTGGAGACAGGGGCGGAGATTTTGGCGGTGGCGCTTCTTCGTCCATTTTTTTTTTTGTGGCGGGTGGGAGAGGGAAGAGAGGTAATTGTAGCGTGTGGTTTAGCCCTTTTTCCTCTTCGGTCTAAATAATTAGGCTTAAACCGTTTTTAATTGAAAAAAAGAAAAAAACCAATTATTAAATTCTAATAAAAGATCAAGTTCATATTATATATAAAACATTAATTCAAAAGTTTTGAAATTATTAATAATTTTTAATACAAAAATAATGCTCAATTTAAAATTAAGACAATGTGGAAATGGCTTGTTGAAATTATCACGTCAATCAATTATAACTCAATTTTCTTTATAAGAAATTTCAAGTTCCAAATTTTCAAAGCTTTTGTATTTTTCAACTTAACTACGGTACAAAACATAGAAAATTTAGAAAAGTCATGATTATTTTTTTAATTAAAAAAAAATATTCAAACCCCATTCTCTATATAGAGAATTATGCAACTAATGTTCGGATGTCGAAAAGTCATAATGTTTATGTTTACAATTGTTTCAACTTTAATGTTAATTGTTATTTTCTGTTCACATGATAGTTGATGTGATCACGTGTTAATTAAGATTATTAAGACTTATTATATATCACATGAACAAAAAAATCAACTATCATAAAATGTAAAAAGATTTTTCAAATATTAAAAAAATTCAAATAAGTTTTTAACTTTCTATTACAATCAATTAAATCTGTATTTTTTATTTTTGATCAAATAAGATCTTATAATTAACTATCATCAATTAAAACATCACATGTTAATTTTATACCACATAATATTATCGTGACATATTAATATATTATAATGAATAGTGACATGATATATTGATATAGTATTTTCTCTTACCATCTCAATATAACATTAACATCACATTGACATAAAAATGACAAATAACGTTTTAATTAATGATAATTAATAATGTAACATAAGTAGAAGAATATATTTAATTTTTTAAAATAGTTTATAATCGTTTTAAAATATTATTATTTAAATTTTTATTAAAATTAAGAATTTGTGTGATACACAAATTAAAAAAATATTTTTTTTATGTTCAATAAGTAAAATAATTCAACGACTTTGTTTTAGATATAAGTTTATAAAATTTATGTTTAGTCTACCTTTATTGAATTCCTTCCCTAAATTAGGTGAAACTTTTAATAACAAAAAAAAGTTTGATCATAAATATTAAATTTAAGGATAAAATATCATTACTTACTAATTTTTTATCAAAATTACGTAAAAGTTTATTAATTTTCAAAATAAATATTTTATTTTAAAAAAATATTTTTTATTGGACACATAGGCTGGATACATAAGTTTAACTATTAATGAACTGTTAATGTTTTTGTTAACTTGATGACATGGTAAGAGTAAAATGATAATTTTATATTTAATTAATTTTTTTATTAATTAAAAAAAATTCCTTAGATCGTTAGTAACACCAGTCGTGCTCCCTTTTCTTAATGAGCTGATAAGCATTGATCGATTTTATTTATTTTTTTATTAATTTAAAAAATATTTTTATTTTTTATAATTTTTATTATTAGTGTTTATACTCTTAAAACGAAATATTTATTTCAAAAATTAATAGATTCGTCAAAAATTTAGATTAAAATTTAAAAAGTAGTGATATTTTTACTTTAAATTTAATTTAATATGATATTAAAATAATGGTTAAATAATACTTAATTTCTTTTGTACTTTTCAAAATTCTTTGCAAAAATAATTGAATGATATTGTTTAATTCCATTTTTATTTTTTTTGAAAAAATGAATAAGAATCTAAATCAGGTCTAATTTTCCTTAACCATGGTTGGTTTGGGACAGCGAAATAGCCAACCCTGGTTCCACAGACAAAAAAATAAAAATAACAATATTTGTCCAAACCCAAAAACATTTTTCTAGAGAGTGACAGAGAGATCTTCAATGCAGGTAAAATAATTTAAAAGAAAATAAACCCAAAAAACTTATAAAAAAAAAAAGAAGAGAAGAGCTGCCTCTTATATATATATATATATATATATATATATATGTATTCTCTTACCTTTCACCGATGGTCTGAGATTCGTCTGACCTTTGATTTTTGCTCCAACAAATAAGTTTTATAATCGGGGTATGTATTTCGATCATCGAAATCAGATCATAAATCAAATAAAAGGATCTTTTGTTACCTCAGTAGTGACTCAATCGAATTTTTTGTTTTTTGGATTTTTTTTCTTGATCTATTGCCTTATTTTTTAATTTTAGATTATATATTAAAATTTGATAGATAGAATAAAAATTTTGCGGTTTTACTGAGTGGGTATTTTGCTAATGCATTGATTACTTAATTCTAGAATCCGGTAGTCTTCCTTTTTTTTTAATTGATTGATATTTTCTTTTGTTGCAGAATTTTTATTTTTGGTGTTTTTAATTTTGATACTTGAGATATAAAGGTACGGTTGTTGTCCTTTTTTATTTTTTTGGTTTGAATGTGTAATTTGATATTATTACTATTTCTAGTTTGATAGTGAATGATCTAATGAGCTGATTAAGTTGAATTTTGGAGTCCATCTTATATTTTTGGTTGGGTTTGGTGAGATGGGTCATTGGATAGTTTAGTTTTTGCATTGAGGATTGATGGATAGTTTGATATATGTAATTGGATTGTTGGTTTTTCTGGATGCAGCCTGAAAATGGCATCAATGGTTCTTAACGGTACTAGTAGTAGTAGTAGTCAAGTGTCTCCGTTGATATCAATTCAAGAAAAAGGTAGCAGGAATAAGAGAAAGTTCCGGGCTGATCCGCCTTTAGGTGATCCAAATAAGATTATACCTTCACCTCAAAATGAGTATCCAAGTTATGAATTTTGTGCTGAGAAGTTTGAAATCACCCCAGTCCATGGTCAAGCTAGTGCATGTGACTTGTGCGGTGTTAACCAAGATCATTCAGATGGATTAAAACTTGACCTGGGATTGTCCAGCACAGTAGGTTCTTCTGAGGTTGGGCCAAGCCAGCCTAGAGGGGAAATAGAAGCAGATGAATATCAAGATGCTGATTGGAGTGATCTCACAGAATCTCAGCTAGAAGAACTTGTTTTAAGCAATTTGGATGCAATATTCAAGAGTGCAATAAAGAAAATTGTTGCTTGTGGTTACACAGAAGAAATTGCTACTAAGGCAGTCTTGAGGTCTGGCCTTTGTTATGGTTGTAAAGATACCATTTCAAATATAGCGGATAATACCTTAGCGTTTCTTAGAAGTGGCCAAGATATCAACTCTTCTAGGGACCATTGTTTTGAGGATCTACAGCAGCTGGAGAAGTATATATTAGCAGAACTGGTTTGTGTTCTTCGAGAGGTTCGGCCTTTCTTCAGCACTGGGGATGCAATGTGGTGCTTGTTGATTTGTGACATGAATGTGTCGCATGCTTGTGCTATGGATGGTGACCCATTGAGTGGTTTTGTTGGTGATGAAGCTTCCAATGGGAGTTCTTCTACTTCTAACCAGTTGAAGACAGAAGCCAAAAGTTCTGATATGAATTTTCCTAATCCTTGTAAACCTGTTCCTTGCATTCCTTGTTCTCCTAGTTCTCTTCCAAAGGTACCATCTACGGGAGTCAATAACACAACAAAATCTAAGAATTCCCTTCTTCTAAGTGGTGTAGTCTCAGAGAAAGAGGGAACAAACTCCATTTCTGATAGTGCAGATAAAACTTTCTGTGCAGCAGGAACATCTCAGTCTTCAACACTGGAAGAAAAGTTTGTGGGGAGTAGAAAGATTCACTCTACCAAGAGGGAATACATTCTTCGGCAGAAGTCACTTCATCTGGAGAAAAACTACAGGACATATGGATCTAAAGGGTCATCAAGAGCTAAACTAAGTGGTTTGGGAGGTTTAATATTGGACAAGAAACTAAAATCTGTCTCTGACTCTGCAGCTGTCAATATAAAAAATGCATCCTTGAAAATTAAGGCAATGGGAGCTGATGTCCCTCAAGATAATGGGAGTCACAATCTTTCTGTCAATTCGGGACCCTCTTCTTCTGCAACATTTTGCTTAGATAATGGTAATAATATTTCTGCAGTGCCTAAGACCAATTTAGCAACCACTTCACCTGCAGTAAACATGCCACCTGCATTACTACCTATCAATAACCCACCTGCGTTATCAACTGCTGATACTGAGCTTTCGCTCTCACTGCCCACCAAAAGCAACTCAATTGTAGTGCCTCCTGTTTCTCATTCTGAGACTGCTAATTTGAGCTATGCTGTGATGCCATATGATAAATCCCTGGGGCAGTGGGTCCCTCAGGATAAGAAGGATGAGATGATTCTGAAGCTGGTCCCTAGGGTGCGGGAACTGCAAAATCAGCTCCAGGAATGGACAGAATGGGCCAATCAAAAGGTTATGCAAGCTGCTCGTCGACTAAGTAAGGACAAAGCTGAACTTAAGACTTTGAGGCAAGAGAAAGAAGAAGTTGAACGGCTCAAGAAAGAGAAATCAACTTTGGAGGATAACACTTTGAAGAAGCTTGTTGAGATGGAGACTGCTTTGAGTAAGGCTGGTGGGCAGGTGGATCGTGCTAATGCTACTGTGCGCAGGCTTGAGGTGGAAAATGCAGCACTACGGCAGGAGATGGAGGCTGCAAAATTACGTGCAGCAGAGTCTGCAGCTAGCTGTCAGGAGGTATCGAAGAGAGAGAAAAAAACACTAATGAAAGTTCAGTCTTGGGAGAAGCAGAAAACCTTTTTCCAGGAAGAGCTCATGACTGAAAAGCGTAAGGTTGCCCAGCTGTTACAGGAACTACAGCAGGCTGAAGTTCTCCAAGAACAGCTTGAGGTATGCAAGTTTAATTTCCAAGCATTGCTTTATCTCTTCTTTCTCTCCCCCAATTTTCTTCTCATAGAAACAAGAGGTAATCCTTGATATACTATAAATTTATAATAACTTTCTACCAGCAGCTTTGTAAACATGAGACATGGTGAGGAAAGCATCCGCTACTTGATATAGACAGTTCAGATTTCTGAGAATCAACCTCACATTGTAATGTTTTGACCTGTTGCATATTTTGAATAATCAAAAG